GACAACGAGAGACGAGCAAGGATGAACGAAGGCACGCGCACTGCCTCTATTACTCAATGTAAACCTAGCCCGCCTAATCAAATACCAGTGAACCTAGATAACGACGAGAAGCGGGCCACGGACGCTGCCGCAGCTGTTGAAATCCATAACGAGTATGCTCAGCTCTTGAGGAATTTAGAAGACGATTTGCAGCAAGTAAGACGACACGAATTAGAAGGGTTATACGAGATAAGCGATCCCTGGCTGACAGCAGACGACGAGAAAAGGATGGCTTGGAATAAGTTCACATGGAAAATGGAGGACCTAGAGACAACACTTAACCAGAGACGCACCGGTATAGAACTCGGGCTGGCCCCATGCTCAATGCGAGCGCTCCTGGATCTTACTAAGGTCACGGCAGACTTCAGCCGTAATGAAGAGTTACATGAATACCCCAGAACGCGAACACCGATCAGTCTGGGCCTAGATGAGTTACCGAGATGGCCAGAATCGGAGAGGAACACTCCTGTGGCCGTCTTTCACATTACTGAAAGGAGTATAAGTTCCATAAGAATGCCGGAGCCAGCTCCTTTAGATCCACAAGTTACAATAGCGGCATCGAACGAACCATATAGAAACGTCCAATCACCACGCGGAAATAGAGCCCCGGACAATGAAGTGCAGGAATTAGTCAGCAAAATAACACACGAGATAACACAAATTCTTGACGACCAGGAAAGAAGAACCGGCCACCTAGCAGAAGAACCGCGAATCTACACACCGACGCCTAGCAGCAGACCGGGCAGATCTTTAGTAACGCGTCTCGAACAAGCGGCGGCTGAATTGTTGAGTGAAACTGAGGGATTAGAACAAGACATTGGGCAACGCGACGCACTAGACATGTCATCTAGACGTGTACAAATAGAAACTGAACGACTCCAAGAACAGTCAATAAGGGAGAAGATGATGAAGTCCCAGCGTCGACTCTTTAGGGACATTGCGCGAATAGAAGCTGATACATTGGTAGTTCCGCCCGACGGCCTTGGATCGAAAGCTCTAGAGCTTGCCAAGAGCTTTGCCAATACCATAACTAGCCTTATTACTCCCTCCAAAAGCGACGCGCCACTTACAGCACCAGGTGACCTACAGGCCGAAAACGAGAGCACATCGAAAGAACCTGTAAAGGACACAAGGGCGCGACGCTTCTTTCGAGCTATAAAAGGCCTGCTGAAACGCGATGAACGACCCAACAACGACCACTCTTCATTCGATCCCCCAGCACACTCTTCACCACGTCTTCCCCGAGTTTTGTCACCGTCTCCTTCGCCTCCAGCGATGCACACAGCCTCAGTCCTCAGAATTATGAGAGCCGAGTCTTCCAGTCCACCCTCCCCTCGGGAGGAAGGCAATCTCGACCTCTCTTTCACCCTCGACAACCCAGAAGTAGCCCAGGCTACCCAAGCAATCCGCGGCGGCCTGGCCGCGCAGCCTATCCTGGTCGGGGGCCTACACTCTCTCCAACTGAGGGATACTCTGACGACCGAGGGACTGCGCGTCCAGAACTACTATCTCCCCGACTGCGCTCTTACGATGACGCGCCAACAAGACTGGAACCCCGAGCACCTGGGAGGCAACGCCTACGTGTCATTCGTACCAACAACCGGCCCGAACGATCCAATGCACGTCCTATCGATCGAGTGGCTCGACGACAACCGCGAAACTGTCAAAGAAATGATCAAACAACTCAAGGACGACCCAACAGCCATGCTAAAGCTTCTAGAAGAGGAACTGGCCGAGGGGGAAAACGAGTACGGCAACGGCAAGCAACTGAGCACTTCGATCCACCGTCCTGACCAGAGTCCTTGCGGTTCTGATGTCATTGATCGAACCAACAGCATGGCTAGCTGCCAGACGCCCAGGTACGAGCACAAGTGCTTAAACGCAATCATAGATCTGATTTTGATGCATCACAACGCCACCAGCTCTTCGGGCTCGCCGGCCAGTGTGCTGCTCGCGTCCTCGGACAACGTCTCGACGGACGCGCTGTATCATTTTAACATGGAAACTGGTATGACAGAAATCGGATCACCCGTCCCTTATGGACTCCCAACTAATCTTGTGTGCAAACGACTCGAAGACGACCCCATGAGAAGCAAGGTCCGAGACAACATCAAAGGCCTGCATCTCAACCCAGATACGACGCTTCGGCCTATTTCCAGCCCCGAAGTACCAATGATCGAACTCCCTCCGCCTATCTCCCGTGTATCGCGTCCTGACACCCCGCACCCATCTACCGCCTTGCTCGATGTTACTCCCGAGCGCATTCGAAACATGCTCGAGAGCCTTATGGCTGCTCCACGTTCACCTCCCGACTCCGAACCGAGTCCCGTCGCCTCGTCCTCTGAAGACCAGCCCAGCGAAGACGGATCCGAGAACGTCATAAAGCGCGAAGCAACAGTAGAACCGTTTACGCGAGAGCTTTCGCTCGAGCGTATACGCCAAGCGTTCAGCCTCTGTGAGTCTAGCGCTCCCCCACCGTATGCGAATTCGCAGCTCTGTTCTCCACCCAGCAGCGAACACGCTCCGGACGAGCCTATGCCACCACTAGAAGACATACCAGAAGACCGTGACTTCAACTACGAGACGTCGTCCTGGAAGATCGACATCCGCGACCCCGTCCACGCGGTCAATGGTCTCCCGAACGAGAGCATTGGCATGTTCGTCGGCACCTACCTGCGTTCGAGTCCCCCGCCTCTACCCGTCCATTTCCACGTCCATTTTCGTCAGATTCTCATGCTATTCTACCAGTGCGTCATTAGCGAGGCCATCGACTACGGCATCAACGAGTACCTCAACTGTACTTTGCGCGACCTTCTGGCCGACCCAGACCCGCTCAATGGCCCGCTCATCTCCAGCATGTTTCAACCAACATCCGAATGGACCGGTAATCCATTTCTCTACGCGGTCGAACGCCTGCGACTTCGTCAAATTTCTATGTTCTACGAAGACTTGTGGGACGAAGGGGACACCGACCTCTACAACGCGCTCGCTGCAATCCACTCGATCCTTACGTTTCGCGTCGACGGACCTGACGCGACAGTTATTCCACGTCAACGCATGGCTGGGATGTATGGCCCACCGGGGGAAATTCCTCTGCTGCCATGTAACCATGAATAAGGTACGCCTAATGCGCATTGTTACAACACGAAGAATTAAAGACAGTGTCATTCACAGTCTATATACCCTACCCTTCAAATCATTTCCTATTGCGTTCGAGACTCTGTATGAAACGACTCAACTGCCAGATACCCCTGAAACGAGTATGACTTCCTCTTGTACTGTCTCGGCCATTCCTTCAAGCCCGGCCAGCTATATTACCCCTTTTGAAACTGATCTTGTAGTTGTACACGACCGAATTCTGCTTGTAGTACGAGACTCCTTTTCTCGCGTTTTGCTTTTAATCATGCCGCTCCCCAGACTGAATATACCGGCCCTGATTCCTCGTGCTCGCGTCAAGTTTTTTAATCCTGGCCTAGCTACAGTAGCACACGCGTGTTTTGTACTTACCAAGGTTTTTCTTGAACGTGGTACTCAAAACATCATTACACTCCGTGTGATCAAATCGCCTGGTCTATTAACTGCCGCGTGTAAGTACCGCATTTCAAAGGTACGCGACGCGACGTGCAACGCGACCTTATCATGTGCCCAGCCTCGGCCTCCAACCAAGAACTTGAGCAACGCACCATGTAAAAAGAATTTCACTGATGGGAATCGAACTCTCGACCTCCCTTATTTTGTGGCACGAGCACTTGGCGCTGAACGTTCGACACTTACGAAGGAGGCACGCGCACTTCAATTGCGCTATACCGACGCGTTGCTCACCGCGCCTAGCGCATCACCGACGCTGCAGCGCATCAACGCTACCCGCCCGGCGCTCATTCCCTTAACTCTCGCGCCTTCTTTCCTAGGCGCTCCAAGCTCAAACTCATTAGACGTGTATAACAATTTCAATAAAATCCCAGTAAATGTAAAAATATTTTTCTGGTTATTGGTCGAAGTTTTTCAAATGACATTACTAACAAATTCTTTTCTGACTAGTTTCTTTCCTTCTAACTTTCTCTTTCTCTTTATTCTCCTTGTATTCTTTTCCTTCATACCTTCCATGTTGTTCATTGTACTATTTGATGGTATCATAAGTTTGGTGAATAATATTTCTACTTACCAACCCCTTAATTTTCTTACTATATCCGCATCTTGTTTTTACATAGGGGTTGTTCAGGACACATCTTCTTCCTTCCCTGAGCGGCCTTCTGTCCCTCCCTTTCCCATCCCTCCCTATTTCCCCTTGGATGAAGATGATGAGGACATCATCTGTTTCGATGGGGCAGAGGCCTATGCAGCCTTTCACTGTCATAAACAAAGCATTCAGGAGCTCAATCTAGGAGTCAAGACAAATATATTCACAGCTTACAAAAAGGTAGATAGGAAAGTTAGACCAGTACCCGGAGTCTTCCCAGAAGAAGCTAAGGTCACAAGGAACTTTCCAGAAGACCCCCTAGATTCACTAGTCCCATTACCCACTACACCACCAGAATTTATACCTAATGGCAGACTTACTAAAGAAAGGCTTGAAGAAATCAACTTCAATGCTGATAAGTTTCTATGGCCTGAAGAGGAAAAGCTCTTTACCCATATACTACAGCTAAATCAAAATGCCTTTGTCTTTGAAGATACCCAAAGGGGATCCTTCAGAGAAGACTACTTCTCCCCCTACATTATTCCAATAGTTCCTCATGAACCCTGGGCTTTTTCCAATATTCCCATACCACCTGGAATAAGAGAGAAAGTAGTAGAATTGCTAAAAGAAAAGATAGCTGCAGGAGTGTATGAGGCTAGCCAGTCTTCATATAGATCAAGATGGTTTTGTGTAATAAAGAAAAATGGAAAGCTCAGAATTGTTCATGACTTACAACCTCTAAATGGAGTAACAATCAAGGAAGCAGGATTACCTCCAGATATGGATAGTTTCGTAGAGCCCTTTGCTGGAAGGCAATGTTATACAGCTTTAGATCTATACTGGGGATTTGATGCAAGAAAAGTTCATCCTAAAAGCAGAGATCTAACAGCCTTTATGACACCTTTGGGTCTCCTTAGGA